ATTAGTTTCCTGCACTGTAAGTCAAAAGGTCAAACATATTTATATCCATGGAAAGATCTTATCACAATGAATACACATGTGAAGTATGAAAACCCTAGCACCAACTGTTAAAGGTTAAAATTGGGTATATTCTTGCAAAATTGGGTCAAACCCCACGGTCAAGGTCCAGAGGTCAAATATGACTCAAAGAAAGACCCTGTCAAAAGGAATACACTTGTGAAATATGAGAACCATATCTCCAAACAATCAAAAGTTATGGGCAGTGTTAACGTTTTACGTAGACAAACAGCAATTGTGGTGTATAAAAAAGATAAAGGTATAGAACTCCTTACATAAGGTACCCACTTCCGCTAATAAAATACTTTTTAATCGAATGCCCTAGAGTTTTACTCTCTATCTATCTATCTATCTATCTATCTATCTATCTATCTATCTATATATATATATATATATATATATATATATATATATATATATATATATATATATATATATATATAATCACTCTACATTACTACCAAAGTTGATTCCGAAATTCAATATACTTCACGAGAAATGGTGAAATTAATTCCAAAATTGACCTACTTGTTTTACTCGACATTAGCTTGGGCCCTGGTAAGTCACATGTATAAAGACAGTGTTTGAACTGCAGCTGCATAGTATTTGCAAAATCTTTCAACATTTTAAATTGATTTTTTAATTCAGGTCGTAAGGATTAGTCAGTAATAATTCCTTTCGCGAAAAAAAAAAAACCAAACGTTTGCTTCAACAAATTCACAGCCATTTTGTTTATAAATGTCAAAAGAACTATGATTGAACGAAATTTTCCCGGAATGTATTAAATACCTATTGATTTTTTTTAAAATTATAACGCTAAAATGTTGTTGGTAACTTAGTAAGACCAAATGGTCAAATCAGATAAAATTTTGTAGAGACTTAGTGCTAAAAAACAAATATTCAGAGAGTATAGAATAAACTCCGGGAAGAAGTCGACCCGTCGTTCCCGCTTTACAATTAGTGTAACTATTCAGAGGCCCAAGCTAATGTCAAGTAAAAAATAAGGCTAATTTTGGAATATGATTTCAGTATATCTCGGGAAGTTTACGGAATTTCTGAGTAACGTAGATTGTTTATATGTGAATATTTATGAATAGAAAGTAATGTTTTAGATCATTTGATTTAAAAGTATTTTATTGGCGAATGTGGGTACCCTATGAAAGGAATTCCATACCTTTACTTTTTTTAACACCTTAATAAAGCGATCTAAGAGCCTGTGAGTCCAGATAACAAATACAATGGAAGCTAGATCCTGGAAGAGGTTTAGAGTCACTAGTAGCCTAAATAACTATGTAGATCAGTGTCATATCAATGAAATCCCGGAAAAACAATCCCCGTCCTGCTGAATTGAAAATTACATATAAAAGTCTAGAGCTATCAAGAACTTAAGTGCTGACGCGTGGTTCTAAGACCCGAATGACCATGAAATACTTGTGGGAGGGAGGGGGCTATCATATGTTGAAAATAAATAATCTGTCCTTGAAAATGCTAAAAATAAATCCACTGGGATGACTTTGGGTGGTGATAGCCCCACTCCTCATCCCCCAAAGAAATAGAGTTTACGAGTTTAGATGGACTTTTTTGTTTAGTGCGTGTGAAAATAAATAATCTGTACTTGTCATCTAGGAAATGAATAATCTATCATTCAGGTGGTGACATGAAAATAAATACATGTACTAGTAATCTGACTCGAAAAAAAATGTACACTCCTCCCCAGAACGAATCAAATGTTTGTCCCCTAGACTGTATTATTCTATTCTGCTTTGATGTCCCTGTACCATCATTGACTTAAAAAAAAAAAAAAAAAAAAAAAAAAAAAAAAAGCCAAGTTTCATTGCTAAAAATAGTTCCTGATCTTCCAAAATATCTTAGAAGCTTCGCGCAGTACACGCGCTTTTGCAAAGCTATCTTCGTTTAGTTCACTCTTAATATAATATTTTACCTTCTCTTATCCAACAGTATATTCAAGACTGCTTACATTTGCGTCCCCCTTCCCCCTTTCGTCCCATCAATTTGCTAATAAATGTACATGTATTTTTTATTGTATATATACTAAAATTATGCAATATTGAAAAGAAAACTAATATATATTTTTTTAACTGTCAAAGAATTTGGTATGACGATCCCGACCTATCTTTAAAGTGCTTTATAGTGAAGTATCTTCATATAATGTTATCGAAGTATCAGCATATAATGGTGAAGTATCAGCATATAATGTCAAAGTATCAGCATATAATGTTGAAGTATCAGCATAAAATGACAAAGTATCAGCATATAATGTTGAAGTATCAGCATATAATGTTGAAGTATCAGCATAAAATGACAAAGTATCAGCATATAATGTTGAAGTATCAACTTATAACGTTGAAGTATCAGCAAATAATGACAATGTATCAGCATATAATGACAAAGTATCAGCATATAATGTTAAAGTATCAGCATATAATGTTGAAGTATCAGCATATAATGACAAAGTATCAGCAGATAATGAATGTTCTCCACACAAGTAAAATTGACGCAAAGCATCAAATCGGCGCAAATAGAATTAAACACTGTAAAAAGTACTTCACAATTAGGCATTCCAGGAAAGCACAAGATATCCAAAGCTGAAAGAGTGAACATTTTTATTTCAAACCATCTTCAAAAAAAAAAAAAAAAAAAAAAAAAAAAAAAAAAAAACACGGAGGGGAGAGGGAGGATGGGGAGGCACAAGATGCAAGATAAATAATAATTTCAGCACATTTGTTCATCAAATTGAGAAACCGATATGATTAAATTATAAAAATATATTGTCATCAACATGAAGACGTTCAGATCTCCAAATGAATCACTTGCTGATACCCTGGCTCTTTGTCACGTGATGATTTCTGCAGACTATGCTGTAGGGAGCGGTAATGTATAACACAACAAATGCAAAGAGTAGGGAAAAAAAATACCCTTGCGTCATTCGCAGCTGTAGCATATTGAAAACAATTTTTAATAGTTTTACCAACTTTTCAATTTTTATTCATCACTTTTACCACGTACTGCTATTATCATCCGGAAAAAAAACCCCAAGGATTTGCATTTATACATTACACACTCTCATGTTGAGGAGTATTTATTGTAAACCCTTCTCATATAATCATATATTAATAATTATCTAGTGAAAATGAAAATTAAATTGAAACATAATAACAACAATTAATTGAATTAGTTCAAAGAAGTTTTTAAAATATTTTACTTATAATTTTTAAGCATGTTATCATTAACAAATTATTTTACCGAACCAATGAAGATATAACGTCTCATTTCCCCATGTTCAATTTCTAACACAACAACAAATAGATCGGCCGCTCCTGTCGGGTAGAAAAGTTGATTTATGTAGAGGGTGCGGCTAAACATTTTTTTTTCTTTTTCTTTTTTTAATTCAAAGAAAAGGAACACAATTAAAGACACAGTGATTAAGAATTGCAGTGTGAAGAAATTATTCCGCATTGATCATTAAAAAGGTCTTATTTAAGGATGGTTGGGAGGAAGGTTTTTTTTTTCTTCTTTACAGTATCTATTAAAGAAAATCTTAAATACACCAAATTAAAAAAAATGACCTCCATGCAGAAGGGCTAATCATTAGATAGATACAGGTTCTATGTATCAACAATTTGTCATTGCTGTAAAGGGTTCAATTTATTATGAGAGAGAGAGAGGGGGGATCATGATGTATGTAAATGTAATTTGTTGTTTTTGTGGATACAGATAAATCCTACTTCGATCTTGGAGACTATAACATGTGGAAAACAGATATATCAGGTAAGGCTTTATAAATATATGTTTAAATATTTTCCCGAATAGTTGTGTTTTTCTTTATTGATGTTTCCGTTTTTAATTATTGTTTTTAAATCGATATGAAAGATCAATAATTGACTAGGACTGCACATTTGCTCTTAAATTTGAAAGAGAAGAAAATATTTTAAAAAAACATTCAGGAGCAATGTTTTTAATACTGTATACGATATATACAACTACAAGAAAGCAGAGGTCATTGACGTTTTGTATTTTTGTTTTATTTCTTCATTCATTCATGATAATATCATTAAACTTCCAAATGAAACCAATATTTTCTATCTCCATTATTTAAATAAATGATAACACATTTTCCTGAATTAAAGTACATGTATTGACATAATTATTTTTTTCGGAAGGGGTTACATTAAAAAGGGCACATGAAAATTAAAGATTTCTTAATTCAATTTAATATAATTTTTTTTCCTAATTAACAATGACTTAAGTATGTAATTTAGATAACCAAAAATTATATAAGTATGTAATTTAGATAACCAAAAATTATATAAGTATGTTATTTACATAACCAAAAATAAACATTTTATAATTGTTCAGTAATTATGATTTATTCAGGTTTTTTGTGAAGCATTTTCTTTAAACCAGGAATCGCTTTATGTCTAAAAAAAATTCTTTGCCGTTATTTTCTGCACAGAGATTAATCTATGATGCTAATTATGTACATGTATTAGTACCTCTTAGAAATATTGTTTATATAATCTCTTAAATTCTTTAATATTGCTATACAAATGGGTGCATTTAAGTCTTAACTCTATGAGATGGACATACAAACAGATAGTAAATATTTATGCAATAGAAGCTATATTCATTTTTTGATTTGTGTGATTTTTTTTTTTTTTTTTGTTTAAGACAAATTTACAACACTGACTGATGACGAGGTGTCCGTGTTATTCTGTTTTCTGTGTTCTGACTCCGGTCCTCCTGACTTCACTGACACAGAGTGCCTGGACATGCTTAAAAAGATACGACACAAAGTGTACTTTAAAAAGAATCCTGCAACAAGTGAGGAGGCAAAGCAGACTCTGAACAGACTGAAGTCACCTGATTTTTTTAGGATAAATCAGGACAAAATTGATATAAATGATGACGCTAAGGATGAGACCATGTATAAGATATCACAGGGCTGTCGAGTTGGATATGAATCACTGCCGTTCTACATCACCAGCTATGATACAGCCACTAGGTATCTGAGATCTTGTGGATATACCAGAAAAAATGGAGAAAAATGTGTCATTGGGAAAAACTCTTTTTGTGAGCAATTGTTCATACTCCGTCTACAGATAAATATACTGACTCACGTCACCATGGAGGACACAGGGATTTATGAGGAGCTGGTTCAATTCTGTAAGTTTATATAATGAAAAAAAGTTATCATTATGTCATATGTATATCCCAATTTATTGAATAATTTCTGCATTCATTAAGTGTCAATGATGTACGATTTACATGTAAAATGTGCTTCTTTTAGTTTTCAAATGGTGGCAGACTCAAACAAAGGCTTTATTTTTTATAGCAAGACCTATTATAGGTATTTACAAAAAAGAATGGAAAACTCTGATATGCATAGATATAATAAGTGCTCTGGAATATCTTTTTTCATGTTCTGTGTTTTTGATATTCATGATATATAGTAAACACACCAGACAACAAAATAAGAGGGAGTCAAAGTGAGCGAGAGCAGTTTATAGAAATCCTAAAAGATTCAGGGGAGGCTGTACATTACAGAGGGAGATCACAGGACAGTGTACAAAACGTGACGTGGTTCTGGACATACGAGGATTGGGCGAGACCTGACATCGTGAGATCCTGTATAGGCCTCCATCCACACAATGACATCTACATCATCGACAACAAAGCTTACAGAAAACCAAGTAAGTGTGGATAGGTGTTATTAATGAATAAGACATCAGGAACACCTAGGACTGAATTAAGAGAGAGAACTAGCAACGGGTATATAAAAGGATGGCAATTGGACATTATTTTTGGTAACGGGATAGTCGCATTTTCTTCCGAAGGAGTATCCAATTAACCCAAAAGATATAACCTGTCATTTTTAGCTCATCTGAGCCGAAGGCTCAAGTGAGCTTAACTGATCGAAATTTGTCCGTTGTCTGTCATCGTCTTCGTCGTTGTTGTCGTAAACTTTTCACATTTTCATCTTCTTCTCCAGAACTACTGGGACAATTTCAATCAAACTTTGCACAAAGTATCCTTGGATAAAGGGGATTCAAGTTTGTTCAAATGAAGGGCCACGCCCTCCTCCAAGGGGAGATAATTACGAAATAGCAAAAAATTAATGGCATTATTGAAAAATCTTCTTCTCAAGAACCAATGGGCAAGAAAAGATTAAACTCACGTGGAATTATTGTCAGGTAGTGTAGATTCAAATTTGTTCAAATCATGACCCCCGGTTGTAGGGTGGGGCCACAATGGACGATCAAAGTCTTACATAGGAATATATAGGAAAAATCTTATCTTCATAATTCTTCTTCTCAAGAACAGCAAAGCTATGATTGGTCATATTTATATGGAAGCATCCTCAGGTGGTGTAGATTCAAGTTTGTTCAAATCATGACCCCCAGGGGTAGGGTGGGGCAAAAATGGACGATCAAAGTTTAACATAGTTGTACATAAGAAAAATCTTCTTCTCAAGAACAGCAAAGCTATGATTGGTGATATTTATGTGGAAGCATCCTCAGGTGGTGTAGATTCAAGTTTGTTCAAATCATGACCCCCAGGGATAGGGTTGGCCACAATGAACGATCAAAGTTTTACATAGGAATATACAGGAAAAATCTTTTAAAATCTTCTCAAGAACAACAAAGCCACGGTTTGTCATATTTATATGGAAGCATCCTCAGAAAGTGTAGATTCAAGTTTGTTTAAATCATGACCTCAAGGGGTAGGGTGGGGCCACAACGAAAGTTCAAAATTGTAGAGAAAAAAGTCAGTTAGTCAAAAAATTATGTAAGCATCCATGGTTAGTGAAGATTTAATTTTGTTCTAATCATACCCCCCTTCCCCACTCCCTTTCAGGGGTAGGTTGGGACCACTTATGCATTTAAGCTTTTCAATACTAAACTAATATTTCCTTTTTTCCTAGCCACAGTGCTCAGGTGAGCGATGTGGCCCCTGGACCTCTTGTTTTATGATTTTTTTAAATCTTATTTTCTTAAAAAGCAATTTATAAACATAAAACGTTATACTGCGATTTGAGAATTCTTTACATTTTGACAAAGTCAATATATATATATATATATATATATATATATATATATATATATATATATATATATATATATATATATATATATATATATATATATATCACGACTGAAAAAAAAAGGGGGGGCGCTGTTTTTAGGTCACCTGGGTCACTTAAAAGACGTATTCGTATATGTTTTTCTCCGTCGCTCCATCGAGCAACGTATGTTTTAAACATTTTCAGCTTCTTCTCTTGAACCTCTGAACCAATTTCAACTAATTTTTGCATATAGCATCAGTTGTTGAAGGGTACAAATGTTGTGAATTTTATTGTCCTTGTCCCCCTGGGGCCTAAGGGGTGGGACTAAAACCATCAAAATTAGTTCTTTCTTTAAAAACATTCTTTACTTAGCAGTCAAACTGTTTGCATGATTGTAATAAGCATTGAGCCCTTTACATGTACAAAAAAATTATGAAATTTATTTCAGGGTCAAGACAAGGGGTTCTGGAGTTAGGGTGGGGCTCTAATGATAATATAGTAGATATGCAGATATGCAAACATCCTTTTAACATCTTCTCTCCCTATGTATATATAACATGCAGATTTAAAAAATGCATGATTATGATGAGCAGGAATGCCTCTTCTAAAATTGTAAAATTTATGGCCACAAAGTCTGGGGTTCTGGTATTTGTTTGGGGGGGGGGGGGGGGTCTGTTGATTATATAGTGAAATTGCGTTATTAGGGCCCTGCTCTGCGTGATCAATCTGTCAGTCCGTCCGTCCGTCCGTCCGTCTGTCCGTCTCTCTTGTCCGGAGCATCTTCTCTCTCCTTGGTCCAATCTGGCTTATACTTCACCCACAGAGTGTCTTTGGGAAAAGGGTGTGCAGTGACCTTGAACCATGTTTCTAGGTCTAAGGTCAAGGTCATAGCAGAATTATATGAAAAATTCTTGTCCAGAGCATATCTTCTCTCCTCTTGGTCCAATGTGGCTCATACTTCACTCACAGAGTGCAACCGGTCAATGGATGTGCAGTGACCTTGAACAAAGTTTTTAGGTGAAGGGTCAAAAATAGCCTCTCTGTTTAAAATCTTTGTTCAGTGCATAATTTCATTCCCTTAAGTCCAGTCAGCCTCAAACCTTACCAATTGACTTAGGGTACGGAACATTTGTGATTTTCCTTCCATATTTCTGATAGAGAATATGCAACAATTTTCATAGAGGATATGCAGCATTCATGATTTTTGTGCCGTTTTTTGATAGAGGGTATGGAGCACTTGTGATTTTCGTGCCAGTTTTTATTATAACAAGGATAACATAGAAGCCCTTTTGACTCACATCCCTTAATAGTACACAAATGTTCCTCTTCAAAATAAACCCTTTTCAGCTACCTTAAATTTTCATGTTCATTGCTTAAAGCGGGGCCCTTTGAGATGGCCACCATCTCAATGATATCTAGTTCTTCAAAAATCTTATTCTATAATCCTGAGTATTCAGCTTACAAACTGAATACAAGTATGAGGAGCAAGGATGCCTCTTCAAACATATTTTTCTAAACTTTATTACTACAACATATTTTGTTCATTGATACGTAAGTCGTTTAAATCTGCAATTCTGAATTTCCTCGCCTTGACATCTTTTTTTTTCTAAATTGCTTTAAGATTATAAACTTATTTATTGTTTTTATAGGTACATGTAAACTCTGGCCATCATGTATCTACATGTATAATCCGCCTACTGAGGAGTAATTTGGGGGTGTTAAGAGCAGTGAAGGTTGCTTCTTTTTTAACCGACATTTGGTTAATCTATATCCTGGTTATGATGTGCCTAAGTATAACTTCCCTTTCATCTTCCATACCCCACCCAACTCCTTTAATTACCTGGTATGGATACGATATTTTGATTATATAAATTTAAGATTGTTTTAAAACCTCATGCCGCCAATAAAGCAGTGATCATATCCCTTGCTATTCTATTTACTGTAACCTTTTTTGTCGAGAGGGAGGGGGCATGCTAATGATCAATCGTTTTGTAAAAAGTCTGTCTCGAGACCAATTATTATAAATTGCATTTTTATCAGTTCCTAGCATTGAAATTACGATGAATAAATTTAAATCATGAATCGTTAGACGATCGACAAAGGGACCTTTACCTCTTTTTAGGCTACGATATGATAGAAATAAAGCACAATTTACACAAAGTTGATGAAAAAGAATCCAGTGCGTATTATTACAATGTACATATAGATTCATTAATTTTCCTTTTCCTAAAAAACCTAACGAAAACTCTACCAAACAAATAATCAAATCATTTCAATCTCTTTCTTGTCAATTGGGCTGCCGCTTTTTTTTTTTTAAATTATAATACGATCGATTCAATAACTACATGTAATTGAAAAAGAACGAAAAAAAGATATTAGTGTATCATTTTTTTTTTTTTTTTTTTTTTTTTTTTTTTTTTGTTTGTTTGTAAATATACCCGACTTTTTTGTTCCTGTCATCAATCTATAGTCATTTAATGAAATACGTATATAAAACATTCCTAAATGTAAACATCACTGTCCCCGACCCGCAATTATTTTAACAAGACTTCTTTACTCAGTAATTAAAAATATTTACGTAAAGTACAGAAAAAACAAACAAAAAAAATGTCCTTTCAAAATTTTTATCTTGCCGAATCCATTCACGCTTAATGATAATTCTAATAGATGCAAAAAATACATCTAGGGTTAAATTTTCAGTTACAGGTATACATGCTTCCTATCGGAACTGAGCTAGAAAGAACACTTTCAACTACTGTACTGTATATTTGGATTATATAAAGGGCGGGGCTTACAGGCGGGGGGATAAAACGGGGTCTGCTTCACGCTTAAGTGAAAGAGAACGCCGGGTTCGCTTTAGCGGACCCAGAGCTGACCCCGAAAGAACGCGCAGTGAACCGGGGTATTTGTATTCTTGCTCACAGTACCTCCAGTTATATACTTCTTTAGAACCTTTACAATGTTGCATTATACACATGTGACCGTTAAGGCCCTTTGGCCTCTTGTTTTAATTCCCATATTGATTGCATTGTGAATGTGTACTTACTGAATTATTTATGAAAGAAGACAATTTAAAAAAAAATCTGCTTGGACCCAGGTTCTTCATGTATGTTGTGTGTGTGTGAATAACGTAAATCTAAGAAGTTAATTTGACCTTTAAACCAATAAACGTTTAATTGCAAGTTCATATATTCCATTTCAAAGGTGTTCATCCAAAAGAAAGTACGATTTCCATTATACACAATCATGCCAAACGTTTTGGTGATTGACAACGACTCAATGTGCGATCGAACACAAGTGATAAATAACAGACAAGTTTTACTAATATAAGTTCAAGTATATTATGAATTTTCACAATTACATCGGAGAGGTATGGAACCTTTTAAGGTTTAATCAACAAAGGGACTCTTTATCATCTTATTCAATTCATTTCTAATGTCTTGCGTACCTATTAGGAAGTAAAGTAATGTATAAGATACGATAGCAGGAAATCAAGTAAATTCTGACAAGAGAAAATCTATGACATTTGATTTTCAGGGATTATGGTGTAGTTTTTTTTTTAAGGAAGGCAAGGGGGAAGGATATTTTGCCCCGATTTTGACCGAGGAAAAGAAATTTTGCACGCCC